CAAAACATGTTTGTAAAAGACATTTCATCTGGTCACTCAACAGAGCTTTTTGTCATGCATATGTGCAGAGAACAGCTCTTTCTGGGCAGAGAAAATTGTGTTTTTTAGTGTGGGTCTTCATTGTGCAGCTCGATCGATTTTCACATCATTTCCACTTTGGAAAAAGGATGATTTTGGCTGTATTGGCTTGCCATACATAACAAGGTCAGGTCCTATGAGCACATTTTAAATCATCGCCTTTGCAGATTTTTATTAGAGACGGTCTTTTGTTGTTTGTAACTGATCAAAAATGAACGGGTTTGAGTACAGATCGGCTGAGGCGTTAAAGGCTTGCGGGAGATGCAGCTCACCTTATCGGTCTGCAGGCTCTGCGCAGCCCCGTAGCGGCAGTAGGTGACAAAGTGCTCGCAGTTGTTCCACAGCAGGCTGTAGGACACCCCGCCGACCAGCCGCTCAGCCTGCCGGGCCACCTCCTCCCCGGGCAGCGGGCTCTGGAGCACCGCCCGGTCCATGGCGTTCAGCAGGATCCCGGCTCCGTAGGCGAAGTCCTCCACGGAGTCCACCCGGATGCTGGCGCGCTTGGAGAGGACCCCGAGCAGCAGCCGGCTGTTGGTCACCATCTCCTGGATCTGCCGGCTGTCGGAGGTCAACACCGGCAGGATGTCCGGGATGAGGTGCGCTACGCGGTTGTCGCCCAGGTAGATCCCGAAGTGCGTGAAGAGGGTTCGGGGGACCTCCAGCAGGTCCCCCCGCTGGAACCTGTGCGGGGCTGTCGCTGCTGGTGCTGCGGGGGGCTGCGGGGCCGGGTCCTCCCGGTCACAGCTGCGGGCCAGCGGAGGAGGCAGCAGGCTGGACAGCTTGATGTGAGCGAGGAGGAAGAGTCTCTCCAGGAGGAAGGTGAGGGTGTCCAGCATGGCTGAAGCAGGAGAGGAAAACTGGCTACTTTCTTTAACTGGTGGGTCTGTTTCTGGGCGGCTGCCTGCAGACAGACCAGTTTTACTGCGGGGGCGTGGATGTGCGCGGCCATGTGTGTTAGACAGAGAGGAAGAGGGGCTTTCCAACCTTAGCAGGAGGACAGGATGCAGGGGAAGGTCCTTTGATGCTGGATGCGAGCAGTTACCACAGAACACCTGATTAGAAAAACTGGGATGGAAATAATGGCCTCCACATAAAGACTGACCTCATTTATCAACCAGCTAAACCATCAGAAAACCACTGAAATCTCCTCCTGATTAACTCCTGCTGGAACAGTAATAAGACCTAACAAAGGTCAGGTCAGCATGAACTGAACGGAACATGATGGATATAATAACTATAATAATAATGTCACCCCGCCTCTGTATATAAGCTAACTGGTTTTCTACGTTCTTTGCTGGTTTCCTCTGTTGACTTCATGGTTGTTGCTCCGTTGCCCTGCTTGTTATTCCCATGCCTGTCCTGTTTCTTCAAACCAACATCGTAAGTCCTGTTATTGTTCTTAATAAAGTTTTCTTCACCTCGCTGCTCTGCCTGCATGACAAATATTAACAGTAATTGCTACATTATGAGGAGGTCCCAATCACCTTTTTATAAAACACGTTTCTGACCTGAAAAGTAACAAAAATAACATCAAATAAACCAACATCTAATTATGAACATGTGATGACTGTTTCATTCCATCCATCCATCCATCCATCCATCCATCCATCCATCCATCCCTGAGGTCAGGTCATGAAGAAAACCTGATCAGCCATTTCCTCAGCCTCTTCTCCCTCTCCTGAAGGAGATCCTCCAGCAGGAACCTACAATGTTCCAGTTCACATCAGAACAGAAGAGAAACAAACTAAGAAGATTCTGTCAAACAAAAACCTCAGAGCTGCTTCTAACTATAGTTGGTTTTTAGTCTTTAATGAGGTTCTGCTCTTCCGCCATTTATTTCTTTAAAACAAACAATGAATCTTTAAACTACTTATTTTTATGTAACATTTTTGGAATAGTGAACCATAATAAATATTGATGAAGCCATAGAATTCAGAGAAGTACTGGTTGACCTTTCTTTAACCTTCTGCCAACATCTCTGATCCTGACTGCTGAGGTTTTCCCAGAAACGTCTTGACAGACTTGATCTGAACAAAAACACCCTGGCTTCCAGCTTCCACCATGACGCCAACCAAATGTGTTCCAGTCATAACCTTCAGGGCAGCAAATGTTGTTCACACTCCCTCGTCATCACCTCTGTGGGAACAGAGCGGCAGTCTCAATGCTTCAGCCAAAAAACCTCTTAACAAATGGCTTCACACAGAGGCAGGACTGAGATGTTCCTGCTCCACAGTCAGCTTTGGGTTCAGCCAGGAGTCCATGCAGGTTTTTAAAATGTTCTTCATGTGAACAAACCTCCAGGCCACTGAATGCTCACACTGGCACATCCTGGATGATCCGATCCTAACAGGATGCTAACAGGACAGGTCTGAATGTGTCAGTTAGCACCTCATATTGACCTCTGTGACCTCTTGTGACCTCACCTTCTTGCTTCAAAGGTAAATAAACAGAATCTGTCAGAAGGTCCTGAATAGAACAGGCTGCAGACTGTGTTCAGCAGGCGTTCCTGAGTGATCATTGTGGAATGAACTAGACCCGTTAGTTGTTCTGTGCAGCAACATCAGGTGGTTCTGTGACCTGGTCCTGCATCAACACCAGAACCGACATTTAAAGAGGAAGTGATTCAATTATGACGTCACAGAGCTCATTTTAACGAAGCTAAATGTTTCCAATAAACTCTGTAGCAAAGACCCAGAACCAGCCCTGGTACCAACAAATAAATCAAAGTTCTTAGCCATCATGTTTTGTTGAATTCACCGGCCACTTTATTAGGTACACCTGTGAGTCAGCCAAGCATCTGGGAACAACTTTAGGTGTTTATATTTGGTGAAGATGACCTGCTGAAGTGCAAACTGAGCAGCAGGCAAATTTGGCAGAAACATCAAAGCACTGATGCATCCTGCCTCTAATCAACTGTTCAGGCCCTCAGTACTAACTGAGCACCATGACCTACCTGAGCATTGACCTATTGACCACAGTGTTCCCATCTTCTGATGGTTACTTCCAGCAGGACAAGGCAACACGTCACAAAGCTCACTATCACACGCTGGTTTGTTGAATATGATGTTCTTACTGTTCTCCAGTGGCCTCTGCAGTCCCCAGATCTCAACCCAATAGAGCACCTATGGGATGCGGTGGAAGAGAAGAACCAGATCAACCGAGGAATCTGCAGCAACTGTGGGACGGCGTTATCTCAATCTGGACCAGAATCTCTAAAGGATTGCTTCCAACACCCTCTCAGATCTACGCCACAAAGAAATAAAAAAGTTCGGAAGCAAAAAACGGTCCAACTCGATTCAATTGATAAATGAATTAGATGAAGATCAGATCAGATAAACTTAGATAAGGCTAAGCTAAACGAAGCTAAGAATGAAACTAATTTGGTTTGATTGATGAGACAAATACAGCTAAGATTCAGATAAAATTAGATATAAGCTACAGCCTAATACAACATATCCTGCCTTTTTTCAGTATAAATGAATAAAATAGGTGCAACAGCAGTGAAATAGTGCCGTTAAATTTGAAACTGGGTTAAACGGAAACTCAGGCTCAGTTTTCAGCCGGCGGCTTCCTGAGAATCAACCTGTTGGAGCTAAAATCTCATTTCTGTGTGTTGATCAGAGACATCTTTGGGTTTTTCAGATTCAGTTAAAGAATCTGTTTAAATAGTGGTTTCATGTTCATGATGGGTTAAACTGACTAGTTAAAGGCTACTTGTGATTCTCTCCTCATTTTTGTTACTAATCCTCTTCTTCCTTCGTCCCCTGAAAAGAAGACGGGGATTTTGAAGGATTAGGGGAAGATTATGGAAACGGACTGGGACTCACACAGTGAAGCACCCCCCTCCGACTGGTGCTGAATGAGTGTGGAGAGATGAGATTTGAAATGTTGAATGAGTGTGTTGATGTGACCCCGACTGGGCGGCTGTGAAAAGGTGAATGGAGCTGAGTGACGGGCACAGAGAAACAAATCTGGCTGGAGGAGGTTGCTGCTAATCCTCTCACTTCAGTCAGTTCAGGTTTCAGGATTTAAATCAAGCCTCTAAACACATTAACTAGATGTTGGTGCAAACTAGTTGTTTGGGAAACAAGTACGACATGTCGGAAAAAAATGCTTTTTATGTCTGCTTTTGTAAGTTTTTGCAAGTTTTGTTTCATTTGCATCATTTCATACATATATATTGTTGGGTTCTGGAAATTTTAATGCTGACACACTTTCTAAAAAGATATACGTCTCCTTAAAAGTTCTTAAGACGTTTCTGGCCAATAGTTAAGAGTATTGATCTTTGTTGGTGTTATTTGTGGAAGACTGTGGCATTGTTCTGTGGCCTTTTCATTCTTTTGGATTCAGTTTTGTGACCATGTTGGCGAATTAAACATCAATGTTGCTGATGTGCATTTCCTTGTGTGTCCCTAGATGCTCTAGTCCTCAGACCAAAAATATTCTCTATAAACTTCCTCACTATGATCGTCACCATTTCTGAATGCAACACAAATCCATTCTGAACCCGGTAAAGACTTTCAGAGTTGTCTTAACTTGGGTACAAAAAGAACTCGGCAATAAACTCCCAGGTCGGGTATTAGCAGCTATGTTGTGTGATCACCAATGTTACAAGACAGAGACCTGAAAGCGGTCACTTATCATTCGGCCAGAAAAGATCTGTCTTGTGTACAAACCACCTGTTGCCAAAACAGTTTAGTGAGGTTCTTGGACTGGCGTTGTTGGAGCTAAGGCAATGCAGTGAGAAGGTGGTCAAACTTAACTGTCTATAGAAGATACGTCATAGCAAGTTTTCCACAGGTGAATACAAATCGATCTTGGTCTCTAGTTGTCAGACAGCAACAGCTTCTTGAAAGAGGGCCCAACCCTGGCAGTCAGCATCTAACCTTGGCTAAAGTCAAACTTCAGTCTGGAGGGGCACGGCGCTGGTGGCGTAGGGGTTAATTGCGTGTTTAGAGGCTACAGTCCTCGAGGCGGCTGTCCTGGGCTCGAGTCCCAGAGCCAGAGACCTTTGCCAGATGCCTTTCCTCTATTTCCTGTCTGCCTAGTGTCTGACTAATTGAAAAATAAAGGCCTCTAGTGCTGCAAAAATAAAACATAAAAAGGAAAAAAAAACAGCCACCTTCCAAGCAGACCTCAACCTGTGCCTCATACATTCCCAACAACCTTCACCAAAGGCTTGATAAGGTTTTCCCTGAGGCAGTATATGAGGTTTTGACTATAAAAAGAGATACAACAACGTTTCCATAGATGAACCTGCTTAATAACAATCATCTGTCAGCCCCAGATTAGCCTCAGAGACGTGGTTGGAGTCTTGGACCCTACAGCTTATCTATCTTCAGCTTATGTTCTACATAAGCTGAAGATAGATCTCCTGACAGACCGACAGCAGCAGGTGAGACTGGGGAGCATCTTCTCCCGATCCAGATCAATAAGTACTGGTGCCCCCCAGGGGTGTGTTCTATCCCCACTCCTCTTCTCTCTGTACACAAATGACTG